AACCTATATGTTTATGATATACAGGGTAAGATAAAAAAAACTGCAACAATCTCAAATGCCATAATTTTTACATTTTTTTTAAATGTTATTGAATGACATCAAAAATGTCGGAAATAGCATCAATTTTTAGAATATGTTTAGATTTGTTCGAATTGGTCACCTTTGGCACGAATTATGGCCTTCGAACGGCCAATGTAACCATCACACGCTGCCCGAATGATGCTTTGCGGTATTTTGGCCCATTCCCGGCGAAGCGCTTGCTTTAGGTGATCGACACTTTGGTATTTTCTAGTGCCAACCTTGCTTGACGTCAACTCAAAAAAGTCCGAGGGAAATTTGACCATAAAGATTAGGGAATATTATGGGTTTTTTGTGAACTTTGATACCTACATGTTTTTGATATACAGGGTAAGATAAAAAACTGCAACAATCTTAAACGCCATAATTTTTACATTTTTTTTTAATTTTATTAAATGAAAGCAAAAAATGTCGGAAATAGCATCAATTTTTAAAATAAGTTTAGATTTGGTCACCTTTATGGCCTTCAAACGGCCAATGAAACCGTCACACGCTGCCCGAATGTTGCTCTGCGGTATTTTGGCCCATTCTCGACGAAGCGCTTGCTTGAGGTGATCGACACTTTGGTATTTTCTAGTGCCAACCTTGATTTCCAAAATACTCCAGACACAATAGTCCAATGGATAGGTATCCGGAGATTTTGGTGGCCATTGTGCGCTGGAAATGAAGCAAGGAACCTAATTTTGTAACCATTGGGTTGCGTGTGCTGAGTGCGATGGTGCTGAGTCCTGTTGGTATGTCCAAGGCCTGCGGCCAAAATGTTTGCAGACCCAAGGCTTAATATTCGGCATTTATTCTGATCCCACGGTCGAGCGGAGAGCGACCATCGGCTGTTATGGGGGCCCACTCAATCACCATGGCCGGCGCTTGAGTTCTGGTGGCCAACCTAAGGTGCTCACTTTCAGCTGACCTCTTTGGCAAGTAAATACGATCATTTTGTTTCTTTACAAACTGCTGGACAACGAATGTTTTCTGATCGGAAAAACCAAATTCGGCAGTTCACCACTTTCGGCCAAGCGAAGCAAGTCTTTAGCTCTTTTGAGTCTATTTTCTTTCTGTTGCGGTGTAAGTACTTTCACTTTTTGGATTTCCAATGGCTTTAGCCCGAGCTCATTTTTCAATATTTGCCGAATGGAATATTGCGACGTGTTCAGTTCAAAAGTCATTTTTCGGTCATTGCCACGCGGGTTTCGATCAAGTCGCTTCTTTACTTTTCCAACCATTTCTGCTGATGTTGCTGTTTTCTTCCGTCCACTTCCTTGACGTTGGGTAACGAGCAATGGTACGAGACACAAAAGATTTATTCTAATTTAAAAGCTGGAGTGCTTTAACGATGGCTTTCCAGCAAAATATAAGGAAATCACACTATCACGCTTGAATTCCATCACGAATAACTTTTTATCTGGGAAATGCTCACCAAAATGCTTTTGTACGCTTCTAAACAATATAATGAGCTGTCACTGGAATAATTTTATACAGCTGTCGGACGAGTGGCTTAGAAATGACAGCAGTTGGTTGCAGTTTTTTCATTCATTTCACCCTGTATATATTTTTGATTAGAACTTTAAGGTGCTAAAATGATACTAAACTTCTAAAATGGCACAACTTGATATTAAGGAAAATTAAAATTTCGCATGAAATTCAAGGTTGGAAAAAATTTTGATAAATGAATATGGGTTTTGGAAATGTGTACTAATATGTACCAAATGGTACTAAACTTGAAATCTTTTGCTTTAGGGTTAACAGATGAATCGGGAATTTTGAACTTTTGTATTGGGGCCCCTGTTGGTGGTTAGATTTGTTATTGGGTGAAGGGAAAGGGCCTTAATCTTAACGTTTGCTTCTATTGTTATCTGGGATTCAGATATGGAGATGGTTTTGGAAATGTGTAATATAATTGTGCGACAAGTGCTAAATAGCACTAGATTTGGTTGGTATTGGGTGAAGGGATAGAGCTGGAATTTCGGTTGGTATCTGGAATTGAGATATGAATGTGGAAATGAACGAAAAGTACTAAATTTGGTCTTGGTTGAAGGGATAGAGATACAATTCTGAAATTAGATAACAAATGAGTACTAAAATTATACCAAAACAAGTAAGCAAAGGCTACAGTCGAGCGGGCCGACCGTTGAATACCCTACAACACTATAATAAACGATACAGTTTATATAGGCGAGATACTCGAAAGAATTCCACAAGATATTGTGACAAATTATAAAAGAAAACCATCAGGTTTCGTTCTCTAATTGTCGAATAATAGCAACTTAGACGAATTTGCTCATTTCCAATTTATTGGTAGATGTTGCACATAAATGGTCTTCCTAGATCGGGAACCAATATTTCCCAAAGACCTATAATCTCTCAGAAGTGGCAAAAGATTAACATTTATTATTGGTTTTTGACTGAAACGCATCTATATGAGATACAGACATTTGACTATATTCTTCAGCGAAATCAGCGTTAACGAAATAGTCAGAAGTGCGTCTTTCCTGTATTTGTGAATTCTCCAAAAAGTCACTGGAATGGACATTTTCGTATTTTGTCTACAAAAGTTGGCGAACTCCTTCACACATTGAATATTTTTGGATGGCCACCCAAAACTGCTTGGCTTTTGCAATGTCCGGTAACCCCCATTCAAATGTGCGTGAGGACCGGGCGACAATTACGACCTGCTGACAATTTTGCAGTTTTTGGTCCATTTTAACCCCTAAATATATGGTGATCATCTCCAAAAAGAGTAGGCTTCTATTCTGGCCCTCATCTTATCCCCATGCAAAATTTCGTAAGGATCGGGCCATAAATGCGATCTGTATATGATATCCTGATATCCTAACTACTTAGTTTTGTTAGCTGTAGAAATATTACCAAATGTTTAATTCAAAATTAAAATATGCCAAAAATATGACAAAATTGGAAAAATATGAGAAAATGTTACAAAATCAATATTTTCATCTTTAGAGAGATATTTTTATGCGATTTTTTAGACGTTGTTTCTTTCCTGCCAAGAGGCCATTCTGAATTAATGAGAACTGTCGAAATCAGTTCAGCCGTTCTCCACATATACGAGATCTTTCAAGCATATATCCGATTTGTAGGATCTTAACATCAATGTGAAGATCAGAAGTAACCTTGTCATGGCTTTGGATTCCGCCGGGATTTAAAATATTCGCGGTTTAATGAAAAATGTTGAATTTTTTCAACACAAAAAATATGGTCTATTTTACCTGCTACATATTATCCGATGACCACCCAAATGGGTAGGCTTCTTGCCAGCCCTAAACTCTAGCTACATGCGAAATTCCGCGTCGATTGGTCTATAATTGCGACCTGTAGAGCAAGTGCAAAATCAGGAATTTTTTCAGTTTTTGGTCCATTTCAACCCCTAAATATTATGCGATCATCATTAAAATAAATAGGGTTCTATTCTGACCCTAGCCCCACCTTCATTTTAAATTTCGTGAAGATCGGACCATAATTGCGACCTGTAGAGTGATTAGAAATTAACATGGACAGACGGACAGACGGACGGACGGACATACATATCTAGATCGACTCAGCTCGGCGAGATAGGAAGATCCATATATACTTTCCTATGTGGGAAATCAATATTTCGTGGTGTTACATAATTTTTGGCCCAATCAAACTTATAATACCCCCAACACATAGTGTTGTAGGGTATAAAAATCGGTGAATAATGTAGCTAAAATCACCAAAATACCGAATATCGGGAGTTGTATGGGGGCTATACGAAGACGTGGACCTGCGCAGACAATTTTCTGTCTTAGGCTGTAGTATTGTTTTCGAACTTCAAATACCAAATTTAAAACAATTCCGGTGAATAAAGTCGCTAAAATCGTTAAAATACGAAAATCGGGAGGTACCGTTATATGGAGGCTATACCAAAACGTGGACCTACTTTTCATTACCAAAGGACATTTTCAATACCAAAAGTCCTGCAGACATAATATACATTTGAGTAAAATTTTATCAATCTACTTCATTTCTTTCGGAAGCTAGAGTGATTTCCACTGTTCGCGATACGGACAGATGGATGGACATCGCTAATTCGACATAGAATTTTATGCTTATCAAGAATAATATATTTTGTGGGGTCTAAAATGTATATTTCGAAGTGTTACAAATGGAATGACAAACTTAATATACCCTCCATACTATGGTGGAGGGTATAAAAAGGCCTATTGGAACAAATCTAAAATTTTAAAGTGGACTTAACCGTATATTTTTTTTTTTTTTTTTTTGAATTTTCTGAAGATAGCTAGATACAAATATAATCGAGGATTTTTGTGAATATTTTCAAAATTTAAAATTTTTTTAGATTTTACAGGATCTGCAGTACTTTAATTTTGATTTTTCTGAATAATTTTAGCAATGCCAGAGCCATGATTGTTGATTTTTATGAATTTTGTAGAGACTGTCAATGTACTGAAAGATTTTTAAATTTTGAATATTTAAGTTCCTTAGGATTGTCAGATTACTTTTTTTGAAAATTTCTGAGGAGCCTTAGAACTTCACTCTTATTTTTTTTTTAATTATCAGAGCTTGTCCCAAGCCTATGCTCGGATTTTTTAAAAAGGTTTCATAAACTGTTTTAATTTCCCCAGAATCTTAAAATATTCAGTAGTCACTCATTATGGGAACACCCGCCTTATTCAACGCAAACATAAAGCGCATGGTTTTGACCCATATCTTTAAAAATATGACCTTATAAAATTTAGAATTTATGTTAATATGACACATGCGTTACCCCGAAATTTAGTAGTCTTCCAAGGAAATCATCCATACAAACAAAACAATTTTTGGACTTTCTTATCTCTGAACGCCGAGTCTACTGTATTTCACTTCAATACTGTTCTAAATTCGCTACACTTTCAATGTTATTGTCACACGAGGTGTCGTAAAGATATAAAGCCGAAAGAAAACATAATAAAATAGAATTTACTACGAAATTTTGGAGAAAAAGATATAATCGTTATTAGTTGCCAAAATAGTCTTGGTGAATTACAAAGTACGAAGAGCGGAAATTGTTTAAAGAAAAAAAAATAAAAAAATTGCAAATGAAAATGAAAATTACATTGAAATTGGTAAGGATATTGAAATCCATTTGGTATGAAAGGAAAACATATGCTGTGTTCCAGAACTTACAAGCATCTACTAGTTTTGCTTTTTTTCTCGATAACATCGAGTTACCATTACCTTCTTGCAGTTCTGGAACAAAATAATAATTTTCAATTTTCATTTAGCTATTGTGTGCTGTAATATTGGTTGTTGGAGTCTATGCAGATTGTGATGTTTGCCAATCGGGTAATAATGTGACCTGCCATAGCCTGAATCGTTACTCGCCCTGTGTAAATGGTGAGTTCTGATATTTTATTTTTAGTGGATTGAAAGAGTACTTATGTTTTTTTTTTGGTTTTTCAGGCAAACCGACAGAGGAATATCAAACCTGCCCGGAAAATTATGTCTGCACATCGGCCATATTGATATGTTATCCTCAGGCCCATAGTCTTCCGGCAAGTTGTCCACGCATCGATGAACCACCACCGGTGGGCACCAATTGTGGCATCTGTGATAAATATAAGGTTTTTGCTTGCCTCAATGAGACCACCATTGGTTTTTGTTTTGGGGAAGATGCCCCCATGGAAGGTTTTGTTTCCTATTGTCCTGAAAATACTGTGTGTGATATCACTTTGGAATCCGGATTTTGCAACGATAAAGCGGATGCAGAGGTGAGTAATGGGAAAATGAAAAGGGGAGCATTCTTCAGAAAGGCCCCGAATCTTGTAATTGAAAATATATAGAGATACTATGAGATATCCTTGTCTAAGGTCGTTAGAAGTTCTAAGATACCATGGCGTATTTTTGAAAATGCTGGATTTATTAAATCTTTTTAAGACATAATACTCTGAAAACTGGGGAATTTCAATTAATTTTTTCACAACTTTTTTTAACTTTTTGAGAACTATTTTTATGGATTTAAAAAAACTCTAAATTATTTAAAAAATGCCAAAAATTATTTATTTAAAACCGTACATTTGCATACCCTACAATACTACGTTTTGGTGATATTTTAAGTTTTATTGGACCAATAAGTTTGCATCACCGAGAAATATTGTTCCTAGACCCACGATGTAATGTGTGTACCTATTTCGCCGAGCTTAATTGATCTGGCTATGTGTGTCCGTGCGTCTTTTCATTGCAAAATTTTGGCTAGAGCTACGTTTGGGATCAGAATACAATTCTACTGTTTTTGGAGATGATCACAAAATATTTAGGGATAAAAATAGACCAAAAACCGAAAAACGTCCAGATTTTGCAGTTGTTACAATTATGGACCAATCGACAATTACTTGGGGAAAGAATTTTTGACTGGGCAGATGCCTACATAATTTGAAGGTCATCGGCCAAATAACCTAAAACTTTGTTTTAATTTCGGCGAGACTGTTACACTGATAAGGAAAACATAATACGAGCAACAAAAAAAAAACGCATAAAATATGCCAATAAAAATGTGAATATTTGTTGTTATATTTTTCTATATTGCACTAAAAAGTACCCGCAACTTCGTCAGCGAAAAGTTTGTCTTAAAATTTAGATTCGTTCCAAGAGTTAGTGTTAGGCCTTTTTAGAACCAAAATGCAACATTTATTCAGTTTTACAAACAATTTTTAATCAAAACTTCATAAGTCGTACTACATCTTTAATACTTTCAAGGTTTTTTATATCATTGAAGTTTTTACTCACTCGGAAAGAATAATATGAAAATGTTTACCTTTTACACCAAAAAGGAAGATATTAGTAAAACCATTGCAAAATAGACCCACATCCAGGTTTTCAGTCAAAAACTATCTCAACGTCTCCATACGTAAAATCTAGAAACCAACAGCGACCTCTATACTACATTTCAGGGTGAGATAAAAAACTGCAACAAAGTCAAACGCCATGATTTTTACATTTTTTTTTTTTTAATTTTATTGATGAAAGCAAAAAATGTCGGAAATAGCATCAAATTTTAGAATAAGTTTAGATTTGTTCGAATTGGTCACCTTTGGCAAACGACCAATGAAACAGTCACACGCTGCCCGAGTGTTGTTCTGCGGTATTTTGGTCCAATCCCGGCGAAGCCCTTGCTTGAGGTGATCGACACTTTGGTTTTTTTTTTGTGCCATCCTTGCTTTCCAAAAAACACCAGACACAATAGTCCAACGGATTGGTATCCGGAGATTTTAGTGGCCATTGTGCGCTGGAAATGAAGCGAGGAACCTCATTTTGTAACCATTCTTGGGTGGCGCGTGCTGAGTGCGATGGTGCTAAGTCCTGTTGAAATGTCCAAGGTCTGCAGCCAAAATGTTTGCGTGTCCAAAGCTTTAATACACCCTCCCGAATATTTTTGCGATAATATTCGGCATTCGGCATATTCTGATGCCACGGTCGATTAATACGAGTGGAGCGGAGAGAGCGACCATCGGCCGTTATGGTGGACCACACTATCACCATGGCAGCCCGTGAGTTCTGGTGGCCAACCGAAGGTGGGCATTTTCAGCTGACCTCTTTGGCAAGTAACCACGATCATTTCGTTCGTTTACAAACTGCTGGAAAACGAATGATTTCTCATCGGAGAAAACCAAATCCGGCAACTCTTTAGCTCTTTTGATTCTTTCTGTTGCGGTGTAAGTTCTTGCACTTTTTGGAATTTCAATGGCTTAACCCGAGCTCGTTTTTCAATATTTACCGAATGGAATATTGCGATATGTTCAGCTTACGAGCCATTTTTCGGCCACTGCGACGCGGGTTTTGATCAAGTCGAACTTTTCGAACCATTTCTGCTGATGTTTTCTTCCGTCCACTTCCTTGACGTTGGGCTACGCTACCAGTATCACGGTAACGAGCGATGGTACGAGACGAGTACGAGTACGAGATGGTACTAATACCAAATTTCTAGCATCTGTTCAACCAATACTGTACTGTTTAGTACTTTTCGTACACTTGTATAGATATATCCAAAACCACTTCTTTATCGCAAACCTACTACCATAAGGGACCCCAATACAAAATTTTGAAATTTCCGATTCATCCGTTCGACCTGTTCCAAATTTGGGACCATTTAGTACAATTCCCACACTGAGTACACATTTCCAAAACTTTCCATCTTTGATTCTCATACCTATCCTGCACTCCATCAGTGACTCTCATTTCACAATTCAAAATTCGAGCTCATTTTATTTGTCTAATAAAAAGTAAATTTTTGTACATTTCGTACCCATTTAGTATGAATTTCCAAAAACCCAACTTACGCACCGGGACTGATCTTTGCGCAAAATTTTAAAATTCTAGCCGTTTCGTCTGGGCGTTGAATCTCAGTCAGTCAGTTATTCCACTACTCTTTTATATACACTGGTGGCCAAAACTAAAGCAACTGAAATTACAAGGAGAATGAATGCCCTGTAACTTTTTCAAAAATTAAGAAAATGAGAAAGTTTTTCTTGTTTTAAATTAGGTACTTTATTCACTTTTTAAAAACCTAAAACATAAAACCAAAATTCTTTTTTATATAAGAAATTATGTTTGGTAAAGTCAATTAACCCGATTTTGGCTTGGACAAAACAAAAGCAACTCTGTTGTACATTCATATAACCGCTGCAATTTCAGTGGTTTTTACTGTGATATTTATCACTTTTTGCTTCCTTCGACAATTTCGCTTGTCATAAATCCTTTTTGAGAAGTTTTTTACAACAGTATGTGTTTTTCTTTTCGTTTTTTAAGTACTGCCAAAAAAAATTTAAAAATGGCTAGAAGCAAATACTGTACCTGAATAAAACAGCAAATTATCAGTGATTATCAAAACAACATATCACAGAAAATGATTTCCGAGAAATATTTCATAAATATTTATGTGATTTCATAATTATGTCTGTGCACTAAGCCGGTTTTTTTGAAACTGGATCAGTAGTAACAGTCCATAACGGATGAAGGCCGTGAAGAACTTCAGCCCATACTGATCCACAAATTGTGAGAGAAATAAAAAACAACTATTTAAGAGTTCAACAGGATTGGTGAGAGAGCAATCATTGGATATAAGCTCGAGATCAGTGCGTAGACGAGTAGTGGCAGCTGGTCTGCGTGCCCGTAAGACATCAAAAAACCATTTATATCTGAAAAAATCAAAAAGGCTTTCGGAAACGATAATATTAAGTGGAACCAAGCTCAATGGAAAAAACATTATTTCTGGGATGAGTCTACGTTTAAAATTAAAGGCTCAGACGTGAAAAATTTTACGGTGAGAAGACCAAAAAATGAAGGACTCAAGCCGCAGTGTTGCAAAGGTACAGTGAAGCATGGGGGAGGGTCAAAAATGGCGTGGCGCTATTTTTCTTTCTATGGACTTGGGTCTATCCATAAAATAAAGGAAGTTGTGGATCCGTTTGTTTACAAAGATGTGTTGGACATCACGTTGTTCCCTTACGCTGAGTAAAATATTGGGCTGATTTGTGTGTTTCAGCATGACAATGATCCCAAACTTGTATCAAAACTTGTCAAATATTGGTTGTGGGAGTCAAAAATTCATATTTTGTTATGGCCGGCACAATCACCTGACCTAAACTCCTTAGAAAGCCTTTGGAGTATCGTAGGTAGGAAGATCAAGAGAGATTCGGAAATAAATAAGCACAACATTTTCTAAAGAATTCGGGGTGCCTGGAAAAGCACACCCAAGGATCAAATTGAGCGTGTTATAGATTGAATGCCTCGTATGTGTGCAGCTGCTATCAAAAATAATGGTTATGCTATCGACTGCTAGCCAAAATTTAATTATTTTAAAATAAAAAATCAAAAGTTGCTTTAGTTTTGACCAAGCAAAAATTGGGTCATTTTAGTTTTCCACATATTATTTTTCGTTCAAACTTATTTTTGTATTTTTATTTTTAGTTTCTTGAAAGTGAATTAAACCCCTCATTTAAAACTGGAAAAATAATTACGATTTGTTCATTTTTGTAAAAGTTACAGGACATTTATTGTCTTTGCGATTTAAGTTGCTTTAGTTTTGGCCACCAGTGTATACAGATTAAATTGTTTTCATTTCGACTCACAATACTGAATTATACAATTTGTTATATTTTTGTCGGGCAACTACAAATAGTACTGTAGGGTATCTTTTTGTAGGTGCCTGCAAATCTTGTTATATATCTTCATATAAAAAATTAGTTAATTAGTCATAAAGGTATCGAAAGCACTAGCACTTGTCTCTTTTTAGCCGATATTAAACATTTTTTTAAATCTTTTCTCGTTTTGTCAAATTTTTTGTTTCAATTTTTTCTCTTTCAGCCAAGCTGCATTCCTAATGCCGGTGAAAATGAAGAGGATGATCCCCCAACAACACCGATGATAATAACAACATCTACCATACCAACTACAACGACAACAACAATAATGCCCACTACAAGCACAACTATTGAGCCCTCAATTACAACACCAACGACGACAACGACGACGACTACAGCCAGTACAACAACCACAACAATACCGACGACAACAACCACAGAGGCCCCCACATCTAGTACAACTATTTCCACAATGCCTACAACAACGACGACTACCGTATTGCCAACTACAACAACTATCCAAGCCACTACAACAACCACTGTTTTGCCAACTACGACGACAACTACAGAAGCTACTACAACAACAACGACATTGAAACCCACAACAATGCAGCCAACCACCACTACAACAACTTTGGAACCCACAACAACAACTACAACAATGCAGCCAACCACCACTACAACAACTTTGGAACCCACAACAACAATTACAACAATGCAGCCAACAACCACTACAACAACTTTGGAACCCACAACAACAACTACAACAATGCAGCCAACAACCACTACAACAACTTTGGAATCCACAACAACAACAGCCACAATGCAGCCAACCACGACTACAACAATGCTACCAACTACCACAACAGTGCAACCCACGACAACAACTACAACAACGGTGCCCACTACGATTTCAACAACAACTACAATAACAACCACAACCATGTTGCCGACACCATCCGGACCACGTACCCCAACCGAAATTTGTTTGGATACAGGTAAAACCGGATTCTTTCCTCCCGATGATGATCCAACATGTACCAAGTAAGTATTATTGTGGAAATATTATTGCGGCAAACATTTCTAGGGAAGTTACCTAAGCAGAAATAGGGTCTAATGTAAAAATTGCGCAGCAAAAAATAAAAATCAAAATTATCTGGCTTACTATGGTTCTCGGGCTAAACTATTCATTCCAGGCCCAATTCCAACTTGGGTATATATATTTTATTTTATACATTTGAGATGCATGTCCTAACACCCAATCTCCATTTTCGCATTCCAATTTAAGGAGTTTTTGTCCTTTTCATAGCCGTTTTTATTTGTTTTTCATCTCTTTTTCAGATTTGTCGTCTGCTATGGTGATCCATTGAAGGGCCTGCTCAACAGTTGCTCGGCTGGGCAATTTTTTGATCCAGAGGCGAAATTTTGTTCTACAGTAATACCACCAGGATGTCCTGCTGATGGTCCGACTACTGTTTCAACTACCACCGTTCCCACTACTACAACAACTACCACAACAACGACTACTGCCGCTACACCTGCAGTACCACGAGATCCAAATGAGATTTGTGCAGATGCCGGTACAACTGGTTCATATAAGACCGATGATGATGTTACGTGTACCAAGTGAGTAAAACTTGTAAAGATTTAATGATTTGGAATTCAAAATGTTGTATTTCAAACGCGTATGAACAATGTGGCCGAACTTTTATAACCCTCCATCATTTGGAAGGTACTTGAAAATTTTCAAAAATACGAAACGTGGATCTGTATAAGCAATTTTTTGTCATAGGCTATAGTACCGATTCCGAACTTAAAATACGAAATGTCAAACAAGTCTGGTGAATAAAGTCGCTAAAATCATCAAAATACCGAAGGTGCCGATATTTAGGAGGAATACGAAGAGCTGGACCTGCACAGTCAATTTTCTGTCATACGAACTTTAAATACGAAATTTGAAACAGATCCGATATATTGTAGCTAAAATCATAAAAATATCGAATTAAGTAGGTGCCGATATATGGGGGCTATACGGAGTCCTGGACCTGTATAGACCATTTTCTGTCATAAATTGTAGTACCTATTAGGAAATTCAATTACGAAACAATTCCGGTAAATAATGTAGCTAAAATCATAAAAATACCGAATATAGGGAGGTGCCGTTATATGGGGGGCTATAACTAAACCTGGACCTATATAGCCCATTTTCAATACCAAAAGTCCTGTAGACGAAACACACATTTGAGTAAAAATTTATCAACCTACTTCAATACGTTCGGAAGCTAGAGTGATTTCCACAGACGGACGACCTTAAATCGACATAGAATTTTATGCAGATCAAGAACAGGTGTAAAATGTATATTTCGGGGTGTTACAAACGGAAAGACAGACTTACAATTTCGTGGGCAAATGTGACTAGGATTATTAAAAACGAAATTCAGTGGGTCGTTATATGTGCGCTATAGAAAAACGTGCACCTACATATTCAATGTTCTGCTGCCAGAGCTTAAACCAATTATAAACCACAAATACCAATTTTTAGACAAATCCTTAAAAAAATGTGCCAAAAATTATTAAAATACTGAATATTCGGAGGTACCATTACATGGACCTACACATACTGTGTTCCGGCACAAGATCTAAAACCCATTACGAACTACAAATAGTAATTTTTGGATAAATCCGCGGAAAAATGTAGCAAAAATTATCAAAATATCAAATATCGGGATATCCCGTTATATAGGGGCTGTTCCAAAACGTGACCCATATATATACTATGCTCTGCCACCGGAACTAGAACCCATTGCGAACTACAAATATCAATTTTTAGACAAATCCATGGACAAATGTGGCAAAAGTCATCAAAATACCGAATATCGAGAGGTACAGCTATACAAAAACGTGGACCTATGCCTACAATGTTGTGCCACAGGAGCTAGAACCCATTATGACCTTCAAATACTAATTTTTAGACAAATCAATAAAAAAAATGTAGCGAAAAAAAATCAAAATAACGAATATCGGGAGGCTCCGTCATATGACGGCTATACCAAACCTGGACCGATATATCTCCTCTTCAATACCAACCAACTTATACACAACACAATTTGTTTTGCCAAATGCTAAAGCTCTACGTCGAATAATGTGTATCAACAGACAGGCAGACAGACTGATATCGTTAAATCGGCCTAGAATTTTATGCTGATCATGAATATACAGGGTGAGATGAAAAAACTGCAACAAAGACAACCGCCATCATTACATTTTGTTTTAAATTTTATTGAATGAAAGCAAAAAATGTCGGAAATAGCATCAAATTTTAGAATAAGTTAAGATTTGTTCGAATTGGTCACGAATTATGCCCTTCAAAGGCCAATATTTTTTTTATGCGACATTAACTTTCACTCCCCTTACATTGGTTGCTGCACAGTATAATCGTTCAACAATCGATTTACTATATGATTTATTAATGTAGAGAAGCTCGATTGGCCTCCTTAAACGTTTGTTATACCCTACAACACTATGTGTTGGGGGTATTATAAGTTTGATTGGGCCAGAATTTATGTAACACCTCGAAATATTGGTTTCCCATATAGGAAAGTATATATAGATCTTCCTAGCTCGCCGAGCTGAGTCGATCTAGCTATGTATCAGAATAGAACCCTATTTCTTTTGGAGATGATCGCCAAATGTTTAGGGGTTGAAATGGACCAAATACTGAAAAAATGTCGGATTTTGCAGTAGCTATACAGGTCGCAATTATAGACCAATCGACGCGGAATTTCGCATGTAGCTAGAGTTTAGGGCGGGGAAGAAGCCTATCAATTTTGGTGGTCATCGGATAATATTTAGCGGGTAAAATAGGCCATATCTTTTTTATTGAAAAAATCCAAAATTTTTCATTAAACCGCGAATATTTTAAATCCCGGCGAAATTACAAACCCATGACAAGGTTACTTCTGATCTTTACATTGATGTTAAGATCCAACAAATCGGATATATAGCAAAATATGTGCGATATATGCTTGGAAGATCTATTTTATGTCGAGAACGGCTGAACTGATTTTGACAGTTCTCATTAATTCAGAATTGCCTCTTGGCAGAAAAGAAAAAACGCCTAAAAAATCGCATAAAAATATCTCTCTAAAGATGAAAATATTGATTTTGTAATATTTTCTCATATTTTTTTTAATTTTGTCATATTTTTGGCATATTTTCATTTTAAATTAAATATTTGGTAATATTTCTACAGCTAACAAAACTAAGTAGTTAGGATATCAGGATATAATATACAGATCGCATTTATGGCCCGATCCCTACGAAATTTTGCATGGGGATAAGATGAGGGTCAGAATAGAAGCCTACTCTTTTTGGAGATGATCGCCATATATTTAGAGGTTGAAATGGACCAGAAAACTGCAAAATTGTCAGCATGTCGTAATTATCGCCCGATCCTTAGGCACATTTGAATGGGGTTACCGGACATTGCAAAAGCCAACCATTTTTTAATGGCCATCCAAAAATATTCAATGTGTGAAATTGTTTGCCAACTTTTGTAGACAAAATACGAAAAGGTCCATTCCAGTGACTTTTTGGAGAATTCACAAATAGAGGAAAGACGCACTTCTGACTATTTCGTTAACGCTGATTTCGTTGAAGAATATAGTCAAATGGCTGTATCTCATATAGATGTATTTCAGTCAAAAACCAATAATAAATTTTAATCTTTTGCCACTTCTGAGAGATTATGGGTCTTTGGGAAATATTGGTTCCAGATCTAGGAAGACCATTTAAGTGCAACATCTACCAATAAATTGGAAATGAGCAAATTAGTTTAAGTTGCTATTATTCGAAAATTAGAGAACGAAACCTGATGGTTTTCTTTTATTATTTGTCACAATATCTTGTGGAATTCTTTCGAGTATCTCGCCTATATAAACTGTATCGTTTATTATAGTGTTGTAGGGTATTCAACGGTCGGCCCCGCTCGACTGTAGCCTTTGCTTACTTGTTTTTGATTCTAAAATTTTATTAATTTTTTTCATTACATTACTAAATTAATTATTTATTTCCAATTGCAGATATGTATTATGCTATTTGATGAGCGGCAAAATCTCTGGTCTAATTAAGAGTTGTCCAAGTGGAGAATATTTCCATCCAGTCAATAGGATTTGTTCAGCCGAAAAGCCTGAGGGATGTCCCTAAAACTAAAAATCTATGTACAGAATACATTTATGAGCAAACTTGACCTATATTTTATATTGCAGAGATATAATTTATTCCCAAGAATATAATAAATAAAAATCTTAAGAAATAAAAACCTACAAATATCATTATTTTATTATGTTTTACAATAATATATAAAAAATGGGTATAAAACACTCAAAATAATTAAAATAAAAAATGTATTACATACTAAATATTTAACATATAATTATATTATATCATATCAAATACAATTTGAGTCTCATGATAAGTTTAATGACTTCCTATTCTGATGACTTCTGGCACATGTTTTCTTTTGCAAACAAAAGATTTTGTGAGTTTCCCAAAAATTTTTTTTATTTTGAGGTGTTTACTGAATAAGCATGAAATTACCGAATAAGACTAGGCCATTTGTATTAGTTGTGTGAAAGATATCATATAATTTGGCACCATAATAAAGCCATAAACGCCTATTTGTTGTTCCTAGATAATTTTGGAGGTTATTTAGAGAGTATTTTGTAAACAAGTGTCAATGACTTAAAGTTTGATTATGTCAAAACTAACATACACTCATTTATCACGTATACAGGGTGAAATAAAAAAAATTCAACAAAGTCAAACGCCATAATTTCTCCTTTTTTTTAATGAATGCAACAAATGTCGGAAATAGCATCAATTTTTAGAATAAGATTAGATTTGTTCGAATTGGTCACCTTTGGCACGAATTATGGCCTTTAAACGGCCAATGAAACCGTCACAGGCTGCCTGAATGTTGCTCTGCGGTATTTTGCCCGGCGAAGCCCTTGCTTGAGGTGATCGATACTTTGGTATTTTTTAGTGCCAACTCCAGACACAATAGCCCAACGGATTGGTATCCGGAGATTTTGGTGGCCATTGTGCGCTGGAAATGAAGCGAGGAACCTCATTTTGTAACAATTCTTGAGTGGCACGTGCTGAGTCCTTTTGGAATGTTAAAGGTCTGCGGCCAAAATGTTTCAGTGCCCAAGGCTTTAATACACCCCCCATAATATTTTAGCGAAAATATTCGGCCACGGTCGGTTAATACGAGCGGAGAGCGACCATCGGCTGTTATGGCGGCCCACACCATCACCATGGCCGGCGCTTGAGTTCTGGTGGCCAACCGAAGGTGCACATTTTCAGCTGACCTCATTGGCAAGTAAACACGATCATTTTGTTTGTTTACAAACTGCTAGACAACGAATGTTTTCTCATCGGAGAAAACCAAATTCGACAGTTCACCACTTTCGGCCAAGTTAAGCAACTCTTTAGCTCTTTTGTCTATTTTCTTTCTGTAGCGGAGTGAGTTCTAGCACTTTTTGGATTTTCAATGGCTTTACCCGAGCTCATGTTTCAAAATTTGCCATATGTTATATTGTCATATGTTTAGCTTACGAGCCATTTTTTCCGCCACTGCGACGCGGTTTTCTTCCGTCCACATCCTTGACGTCGGGCTACGTTACCAGTATCACGGTAACGAGCAAAGAAAGAGCAAAAACTGAACTCTCAAAGAAAAAAAGTGAAGTCTAGTCTCCTTAATATATAACGATTGCTCTTGGTGGCAGTTTAATAAATAACTTCTTCCTGCAACTTGTCAATATTAAAAAACGCATAAAGGTCCTGTTTTGTAAGTAAATAGTTTCCGGTTATAACATATTATTTGATAATGATAAGGATCCTATGAGAAATACACGGCCAATATGGAGAGACCAAACTATGGATACAAATATCGAAAGAAAATTATTAATTTTTTTTCTGTGTATCGTAACTATTTCTAGAGCCTGCGAGAATTCTTCTCACTCAATAGATATTACTTCTAATAGCCGAATTTGACAGACTTTTGATTTTTATTGCTTTCAATGACTAGACTTTGCGTCAATTTACACATGATAATCAGTTTCACCTAGCCTATGTAGATACTATTCACAATCTTATAAATATTTCCATGATCGAAGCGTCAGATTTTCCAATTGTGCTAAAATGTCTTGAAAGTTTAATTACAAAAAAAATCACCTAATCAATATCCAAAATATGCTATATAACCAATTATTCTCAGTATCGCCTTCAAATCTGTGATAAACGACATAAAGATATTTCCTATCGCCATTGTTAAGATAACTTGCGGACATTTATGAAGGAACTTTATAAACATGTTCCAATTTTTTTGTGATTAATTCGCTAAGTGTTGTTTTGCAAAATAGTTGCGATTGTTAACGGAACGGCGAAGAAGTAAAAAACAAATAATATTGAGGAATTGGAGATTAGAAATTATGAAATTTTTGTTAAATATTGTAAGTTGAACAAAAGATTCCAAAGATAATAAATAATTAGAATATTCTTTCTAATATAAAATTTACAGCTCCTATTGGCCATTGCCCTGACCACCATAGATGCATATTGCGATGTATGCCAGCAGAGTAATGAGGCAGCCTGTCGCAGTCGTAATACCTTTTCATTGTGTGTAGATGGTAAGTTTTTATATAACTACTAGCAAGTGACCGCTACTGCGTCAGCAAAAGTTCCACTTAGATTAGTTCCGTGTTAGGCCTTTTTGGTTCTCAATATGCACAATTTGTTCAGTTTTACAATTTTTTTTTATCAGAATTTCGAACATTGTACTAAATTTTCAGACTTTCAATGTTTTATATATATTTTTCACATTTTTCCTTTTTCGAAAAAAAAAAAAATAAATACAGTAAAAAGTCTTCAAAATCTTTCATTTTGAAGTTTACCGAGGAGGGAATTATTATGGTACAATAATCGTAAAACTGCAGAAATACAGCCCTGAGGCTATGCCCGCTTCCTGTCAAATTTGCATGGAAACAAGTTGTTTTCATTTCATTCAATATTTTTTTCCTCATTTTTAAACTCTTGCTTTTCTTTCAAAAATATGATCTAAATAGTTCGATCTTTCAATTCCATGACAAAACTGGCGCGTCCCGTAATGTACGCATCTTCCAATCGTGGATTTTGAAAATACTGGGTTTTTATTTTTCAAAACAATAAATATATACACAAAATTGGCAGAAATCGGGCACACGTAGAAAAAATTGTAATCAGCTGATAGCTCTACCTTACCTTTATATTGTACCACGGGTATTAGTAAAACCATTGTACAATGGAATCAAATCAAATTTTTCGGTCCAAAACTTTTCAACGTCCTCGTCAACGTCAACCTCACTATCAAATTTCAGGATTTCAGCCCTGTAATTTCTCCCATTACGAAATTTAGTAACATTTAGTACACATATACAAAATAAACTACATCTCTCCATCTTAGACACACCAACAGTGATCCAAAATTAGTACCATTTAGTACTTTTTAAACAATTATAGTACACATTTGCAAAACCACGCGATACTAACTGAGACCTCAATAGCAAATTTTTGGGATTTTAGCTCCTTAATTTTAAGTACCACTTAAAATTTAGTACCACTTAGTACAGTTATAGTACGAATATCCAAAACCAGCTCCATATCCCAACAACAGACATCAAATTTCAGGACGTCCGCTCTGCCCCTTTAGTTAATACGCAATTTACTACCATTTAGTATATTTCGAACAATTATAGTACACATTTCCAAAACTCCGTCCATCCATATCAAATTTCAGGATTTCATCTCTATCCCTTTATCCCGATACCGACTGAGACCTCAATAGCAAATTTTTGGGATTTTAGCTCCTTAATATCCCCCATTACCAAATTTATTGCCACTTAGTGCAATTATAGTACGAATATCCAAAACCAGCTCCTTATCTCAACCACAGATATCAAATTTCAGAACGTCCGCTCTATCCCTCCATTTTATACGCAGTTTAGTACCATTAAGAAAATTTGGACAATTATAGTACGCATTTCCAAAACCACCTCCATATCTTAATCATATGGTTTATGGTCCTTTAAAAATTCTTTAAAAAATCCTTAAAAGATCCATGGTCCTTTAAATATCCTTTAAAAAATCTTTAAAAAATTCACGTTTATAGTCCTTTAAAAAATCTTTAAAAAATCCACGTCTATGGTCCTTTAAATATCCTGGTCCTTTAAATATCCTTTAAAAATTCTTTAAAAAATTCACGTTTATAGTCCTTTAAAAAATCTTTAAAAAATCCACGTCTATGGTCCTTTAAATATCCTTTAAAAATTCTTTAAAAAAAAAAACCACGTTTATAGTCCTTTAAAAATTCTTTAAAAAATCCTTAAAAAATCCATGTTTATGGCCCTTTAAATATCCTTTAAAAAATCTTTAAAAATTCACATTTATAGTCCTTTAAATATCCTTTAAAAATCTTTAAAAATTCACGTTTATAGTCCTTTAAAAAATCTTTAAAAATTCACGATTATAGTCCTTTATAAAATCTTTAAAAATTCACGTTTATAGTCCTTTAAAAAATCCACGTCTATGGTCCTTTAAATATCCTTTAAAAATTCTTTAAAAAAAAACACGTTTATATTTCTTTAAAAATTCTTCAAAAAACCACGTTTATAGTCCTTTAAAAATTCTTTAAAAAAAACCACGTTTATAGTCCTTTAAAAATTCTTTAAAAAAAACCACGTTTATAGTCCTTTAAAAATTCTTTAAAAAAAACCACGTTTATAGTCCTTTAAAAATTCTTTAAAAAAAACCACGTTAATAGTCCTTTAAAAATTCTTTAAAAAAACCACGTTTATAGTCCTTTAAAAATTCTTCAAAAAACCACGTTTATAGTCCTTTAAAAATTCTTTAAAAAAAAACACGTTTATAGTCCTTTAAAAATTCTTTAAAAAAAACCACGTTTATAGTCCTTTAAAATTTCTTTAAAAAATCCACGTTTATAGTCCTTTAAAATTTCTTTAAAAAATCCACGTTTATAGTCCTTTAAAAATTCTTTAAAAAAACCACGTTTATAGTCCTTTAAAAATTCTTTAAAAAATCCACGTCTATAGTCCTTTAAATATTCTTTAAAAATCCACGTCTATAGTCCTTTATGGTCCTTTAAATATCCTTTAAAAATCTTTAAAAAATTCACGTTTATAGTCCTTTAAAAAATCTTTAAAAAATCCACGTCTATGGTCCTTTAAATATCCTTTAAAAATTCTTTAAAAAAAAAAACACGTTTATAGTCCTTTAAAAATTCTTTAAAAAATCCTTAAAAAATCCATGTTTATGGCCCTTTAAATATCCTTTAAAAAATCTTTAAAAATTCACATTTATAGTCCTTTAAATATCCTTTAAAAAATCTTTAAAAATTCACGTTTATAGTCCTTTAAAAAATCTTTAAAAATTCACGTTTATAGTCCTTTATAAAATCTTTAAAAATTCACGTTTATAGTCCTTTAAAAAATCCACGTCTATGGTCCTTTAAATATCCTTTAAAAATTCTTTAAAAAAAAACACGTTTATATTTCTTTAAAAATTCTTAAAAAAAGCCACGTTTATAGTCCTTTAAAAATTCTTTAAAAAAAAACCACGTTTATAGTCCTTTAAAAATTCTTTAAAAAAAACCACGTTTATAGTCCTTTAAAAATTCTTTAAAAAAACCACGTTTATAGTCCTTTAAAAATTCTTCAAAAAACCACGTTTATAGTCCTTTAAAAATTCTTTAAAAAAAACACGTTATAGTCCTTTAAAAATTCTTTAAAAAAAAACCACGTTTATAGTCCTTTAAAATTTCTTTAAAAAATCCACGTTTATAGTCCTTTAAAATTTCTTTAAAAAATCCACGTTTATAGTCCTTTAAAATTCTTTAAAAAACCACGTTTATAGTCCTTTAAAAATTCTTTAAAAAATCCACGTCTATAGTCCTTTAAATATTCTTTAAAAAATCCACGTCTATAGTCCTTTATGGTCCTTTAAATATCCTTTAAAAAATCTTTAAAAAATTCACGTTTATAGTCCTTTAAAAAATCTTTAAAAAATCCACGTCTATGGTCCTTTAAATATCCTTTAAAAATTCTTTAAAAAAAAAAACACGTTTATAGTCCTTTAAAAATTCTTTAAAAAATCCTTAAAAAATCCATGTTTATGGCCCTTTAAATATCCTTTAAAAAATCTTTAAAAATTCACATTTATAGTCCCTTAAATATCCTTTAAAAAATCTTTAAAAATTCACGTTTATAGTCCTTTAAAAAATCTTTAAAAATTCACGTTTATAGTCCTTTAAAAAATCCACGTCTATGGTCCTTTAAATATCCTTTAAAAATTCTTTAAAAAAAAACACGTTTATATTTCTTTAAAAATTCTTCAAAAAACCACGTTTATATTTCTTTAAAAATTCTTCAAAAAACCACGTTTATAGTCCTTTAAAAATTCTTTAAAAAAAAACCACGTTTATAGTCCTTTAAAAATTCTTTAAAAAAAACCACGTTTATAGTCCTTTAAAAATTCTTTAAAAAAAACCACGTTTATAGTCCTTTAAAAATTCTTCAAAAAACCACGTTTATAGTCCTTTAAAAATTCTTTAAAAAAAACACGTTTATAGTCCTTTAAAAATTCTTTAAAAAAAAACCACGTTTATAGTCCTTTAAAATTTCTTTAAAAAATCCACGTCTATAGTCCTTTAAAATTTCTTTAAAAAATCCACGTTTATAGTCCTTTAAAAATTCTTTAAAAAATCCACGTCTATAGTCCTTTAAATATTCTTTAAAAAATCCACGTCTATAGTCCTTTATAAATTCTTTAAAAGAATCCACGTTTATTGTCCTTTAAAAATTCTTTAAAAAATCCAAGTTTCTAGTCCTTTAAAAGTTGTTTAAAAAATCCACATTTTTAGTCTTTTGAATATCCTTTAAAAATTGTTTAAAAAATCCACATTTTTAGTCCTTTGAATATCCTTTAAAAATTGTTTAAAAAATCCAAAGCAAATGAAAAGTGACAGCTCTAAGCAACTTGGTTTATTTCCAATAACAAAACCAATAACATTGGCTTCTATGACAACCAAAACCGATAAAATTCTAATTCGAAAATAAAACCGATAACATTGATTTTCATGACACCAAAGCATTTTTTCTTGTCGTTTTTAAAACCAATAGTGACAAAATTGGTTTCTATGACAGCCCTGATAATACGCATTTCCAAAACCACATATCTTAATCATAGACATATATACCAAATTTCAGGATTTTAGCTATTTTCCTTCACCCCATACCAAATTGGTGGTAACACTTTGTACACATTTCTAAAACCACTTCCCAGATACCAATAGAGACAGCTTTATCCCTTCATCCAATACTCAATACAATTACTACTTAGTACTTTTCGAACAATAAAAATATGCATTCCCAAAACCATCTTCTTCTCTCAACAACCGACACCAACAGTAACATTTATAGCAAATTTCAGAATTTCAGCTCTATTCCTTTACCCAATCCCAAATTTAATACTTTTCGTAGGAATATCTATATCTTTCTATATCTAAGTGTAAAATTTCCAGCTCTATCTATCCAGCTCTATCTCTTCAATTAATACTCGACTTAGTATCACTTAGTACTTTTCGAACATTATAGTACATATTTACAAATCCACCTCCATACTTTAACCACAGATACCAACAGTGACATCTACACCAATTTTAGAATTTCAGCTCTAATCCTTCATCCTATACCAAATTTAGTACCACCTATTACTTTTCCTACATTTATGGTACACAATTACTAAGCTAGCTCCTTCTCCTTCAGCTAGCTCCTTCTCCTTCAGCCACCAACAGTAACATCCATATAAAATTTAAGGATTTCAGCTCAATACCTTAACTCAATACCAAATTTAGTACTTTTCGTACAAACGCAGATATCATCAATTTGATATCAAATTTCAGAATTCTATCCTATCCCTTCACCCAATACCAAAAAATACCATTCAGTACGTTTCGAACAATTATAGTGCACATTCCCGAAACCACCTGCATATGTTTAGGCTACACATAAACAGCGACCTTAATATCAAATTTCAGATTTTAAGCACTATCCGTTCACCCAATACCAAATTGTATGAAATACAGTAATATTTAGTACTTTTCATGCACATGTAGAAAACACTTGCACAACCACTTATTTATCACAAACTAAACAATAATACAAAATTTAAAAATTCCAGCTTCAACCGTCCTCCCTAAACCAAACTGTTCCAAATTGAGTACCATTTAGTTTGGTTCGCACACTTAGTACACATTTCCAAAACCATCTTCATGTATCAAACGCAATTTCCAAAGTTAATTCTCATATGTTATTTTTAGCTCTAGCCCTTCTCTTACTACTAAATGGTATCATTTTAGAAGTTTAGTACACTTTTAGAACTTTTCGTAACCTTAAAGTACGGATTTCCTAAACCCTTTGGTTCGTCTATCCTGCAATCCATCAGTGACTTTGATTCCAAATTTGATTCCATTGCAAAGTATTGCAGTTTTAGTACATTTTAGTACTTTTCGAACCCCTTTTGTATGAATTTCCACGCCTTCGAACCAAGACTAACCCTCGTGGAAAATTTCAGGATTCTAGTATTAGCCGTTTCGTCTGGACGTAAGTTTTTTCACTACTTTTTTATAAACACGAGTATATAGATTGGTCTTTTAAAAAAATTCTTAAAAAAAAAAAAAATAATAATAAATATATATATATATATATATATATATATATATATATATATATATATATATATATATATATATATATATATATATTTGAAAGACTTTTGGAGCTATATATTTTTTTAAATATTTGTTTAAGAACAAACAAATATTAGGAAAAATATATTTTCAATATTAAAATATATATATATGTATATATATATATATATGTATATAATATTGAAAATATATTTTGTATATATATAAAATATATATTTGTTCTTAAACAAATATTTAAAAAATATAACTCCAAAGTCTTTCAATATATATATATATATATATATATATATATATATATATATATATATATATATATATATATATATATATATATATATATATATATATATATTGAAAGACTTTGGAGTTATATTTTTTAAATATTTGTTTAAGAACAAATATATATTTATATATATACAAAATATATTTTCAATATTATATACATATATATATATATATATATATATATATATATATATATATATATATATATATATTTTAATATTGAAAATATATTTTTTCCTAATATTTGTTTGTTCTTAAACAAATATTTAAAAAAATATATAGCTCCAAAAGTCTTTCAAAATATCGCTCAAAAAATATGTTTTTTTAAAAATCCATGCTAATAAAACTTTCCATGTTTTCTTATAGGCGTTCTTATGGAAGAGCATTTTACCTGCCCAAATGATTACGTTTGTACGTCTGGTGAAAATATTTGTTATCCACCGGATGAAGAAACACCGGTTTGTCCATTTGATGCTGTCGAGGATAGTGACGCCATGATACGTGAGGGCAATCAATGTGGCATCTGTGACGAAGATAGAGTATTTGCTTGTCTGAGTGAAACTACTTATGGCTTCTGTTTTGGAAAAGAATCCATATTAGATGGACCCGTCGATCTGGTTATGGACTGTCCGGCAAATACAGTTTGTAATATAAATTACAAAGCTGATTTTTGCTATGATGATACGTTGGCTAAGGTAAGTTGTAAAAAAAAACTATTCACACTTTAGAAGATATTTTCAACAAGGTTAGATGGCTGTGATGGAAAATATAGTTGCTCAAATTCCCTTATCAAATATTCAGAATTAAACCTCTAAACGTCTCCCAAAAACATTTGCAAATATTGACAAATATGCATCTGAAACCCGCTCAAAAACTATTCTGACAATTATATTCATTATTAAAAATCTAAAATTTCCCCAAAAAAATATTTTTTTTAAATTCAAAATTTTGTTCACATAATTTACGTTGGTTAAACAAATCGCAATCAAAAAAATAATTTGGAAGATTTTTTTTCAAAATTCAAAATTTGGTAATTTATTTTATAGTTTAATAATACTGAAATCAAATTACTATTAAACTCCATCATTTTTAGGCTAGTTGTGTTCCCTCTTCCCCCGATGAAGATAATTCCGAAACAACGACATATGAGCCAGAAACAACAACAACTTCTACTGAATTTACAACAACTACCAAAGTGTACAGTACTACAACGGAGTTACCCGCCACCACTACCACTGAAGTCGATAGCGCAACGACAGAATATTCAACAACAACTGAAGAAGTTACCACCACAACAACATTACCCACCACAACAACAACATTGCCTACAACCACAACAACAACTGAAGTCATTACCGAGACAACAACATCTTCTGTTCCAACTACAAACTTCACCCCCGATGAACCTACTACAGAAACGAATATAATTACAACTACCCAAGAACCCATAACTGAGACGACAACCATGGTCCCCACCACCACCACCACAACAACAACCACAACTGAAAAATCAACAACACGATCAACACTCCCCGACACTACCAAAGAATATACCACTGAACCGACAACCATAATACCCAGCTCAACAACTACCACCGGAGGTCCTACTACAGGTTCAACTACCCTGGCTCATAGCACAACCACCTCCACCACTACTGAACAATCTACAACAGAATCATCTACAACGGTCTCCAGTACAACAACCACTGAAGCTTCCAGCTCAACGGCAACAACAACAACTGTGACTACTACAACGACGACTCCAACTCCAACAGAACCACGTGATCCCAATCAATTATGTCAAGATGAGGGTTCAACTGGTTTCTTTAAACCCGATTTGGATCCGACCTGTACTAAGTATGTTATCCATTATATTTAGAGCAATATTTCTATTAATCTCCTACTATCCTCTCATCTAGATACATCATGTGTTATGGTGTAACTTTGCAAGGTATTGAGAAAACTTGTCCAACTGGACAGTACTTTGATGGAGAGAGGAAATTCTGTACCGTTGAGAAACCAAGTGATTGTAAAATCGAGACTTCAACGACGACGACGAAGAATCCTGGGGAAACCGAAACTTCAACATCTACAACAACAGATACGAATCCAAATCCAGAAACTACAACAACAACAACTGTGAAAGTGCCCACAACAACATCGGCAAACAATCAAGAAAGCCCAACAACCACAACTCAGGCAACCATTACAAATCCGCCACGTGATCCAAAACAAATCTGCTTGGATGCCGGTGCTAGTGGTTCGTATAAGTACGATGGCGATTGTACCAAGTAAGTTGAGAATACGATACGATACTCACTTCCTTCTCATTCTTTTAATCATAAATGTATTTTTATTTCGTGCAGATTCGTCATGTGCTACATTCTTAATGGCACTTTGGATGGCATGCTAAAGTCTTGCCCCGCTGGCCAGTACTTCCATGAGGATACCAAATTGTGCGTTAATGTCAAGCCAGACAGTTGCCTTTAAGAGGCAGAAAGTTGTCACAGCATCATTTAATAAAAAATATATAAATTTTGATATTCAACTGTGAAATAAATTTCAATAATAAAATGCAGTTGATTGGTGAAATTTTATTCTACGACTCTAACATTCCTGATACCTTAAGCGACGTCTAGGTACAAAATTGTAGTGTAAATTTTATTTAGGATTTTTTTGGAGTTGGAATTAAGTAATTTTGAAATATGATCGAGGTTTTGGAAATGTGTTCTAAGTGTGCGAACGGTACTAAATGGCACTGCATTTAAAAATTTTTTGTTTAGGCTGAGCGTATGAAGCCGGTATTTTGAAATTTTGTATTAGGGACCCTTTTGGTGGTATGTTTGAGACTTTGTATTTTGAAATTTTGTATTAGGGTCCCTTTTAGTGTTAGGTTTGTGATAAAGAGTTGGTTTTGGTATTGATTACTACATGTGCACGGAAAGTTCTAAGTAGTACTATATTTGGTACAATTTTTTATTGGGTTCATATATAGTACTTGAAATCTGAAATTTGGTATGAAGGTAGCTGTTCATGTGTAGCCTGGAAATATGTTCTATGATTGTACGAAAATTACAGATTGGTACCATACATTGTATTGGATGAAGGCGAATAGATAAGATTCCGAAATTTGATATTTATATTACTGTTCTCTGGCTATGGCGATTTGGTGATCTTTTGGAAATGCGTCCTATATTTGTACAAAAAATATTAAATTGTACTAAATTTGGTGAAGATATAGATCTGAAGTCCTGAAATTTGATATAAATGTCACTGTTGGTGACTGTGGTTAAGATATGGAGGTGGTTTTAGAAATGTGTACTATAATTGTTTGAAAGGTACTAAAAGGTGGAAATGCGTCCTATATTTGTACAAAAAATACTAAATGGTACTAAATTTGTTGAAGGGATAGATCTGAAGTCCTGAAATTTGAAATAGATGTCACTGTTAGTGTCTGTGGTTAAGATATGGAGGGGGTTTTTATAAATGTGTACTAAAATTGTTTGAAAGGTACTAAATTGGGTATTGGGTGAAGGCATTGGACTGGAATCCCGAAATTTGATATTGGTATCTGGGATTAACTTATGGAGATGGTTTTGGAAATGTGTACTAAGTGTGGGAACTGTACTAAATGTTACTAAAGTTGGTTTTGTAATGCACGAAAAGTACTAAATAGTACCAAATTTGGTATTGGGTGCTTGAAATCTGAAATTTAGTATTAGGGTTCATGTGTAGACTGGACATATGGAGGTGATTTCAGAAATGTGTACCATAATTGTACAAAAGTATTGGATGGTACTGCATTGTGTATTGGGCGAAAGGATAAAGTTGGAATACCGAAGCTTGATATTGAGGTCTCTATTGGTGTCTAGGGTGGACAATGAACCTATCGGTCCATTTTTTTAGTGTAAGTCTAAATCCGATTTCAAGATTTTTTTTTACGTTTTCACCATGTTTCCATTCGTCCGACAGCTAGTAAAATTATTCCAGTGCAAGCTCCTTATATTACACTTACAGAAGTACAAAAGCATTTGGGTGAGAATTTTTCAGAAAAAAAGTGATTCGTGATGGAATTCAAGCGTGATAGTGTGATTTCTTTATATTTGGCTGGAAAACCACAAGTGGCTATCGTTAGAGCACTCCAGATGTGAATAAATCTACTTTCCAAAGAGTTTAGCTGAAAATGTGCACCTTCGGTTGGCAACCAGAACTTAAGCGCCGGCCATGGTGATGGTGTGGGCCGCCATAACAGCCGATGGTCGCTCTCTCCGCTCGTATTAATCGACCGCAGCATCAGAATAAATTCCGAATATTATCGCGAAAATATTCTGAAGGGTGTATTAAAGCCTTGGGCACGCAAACATTTTGGCCACAGACCTTGGACATTCCAACAGGACTCAACACCGTTGCACTCAGCACGCGCCACCCAGAAATGACTACAAAATGGGGTTCCTCGTTTCATTTTCAGCGCACAATGGCCACCAAAATCTCCGGATTCCAATCCGTTGGACTACTGTGTCTGGAGTAAAAATACCAAAGTGTCGATCGCCTCAATCAAGCGCTTCGCCGAATGGGCCAAAATACCACAGAGCAATTTTCGGGCAGCGTGTAAGGGTTTCATTGACCGATTGAAGGCCATAATTCGTGCCAAAGGTGACCAATTCAAATAAATCTTAACTTGTTCTAAAATTTGATGCTATCTCCGATTTTTTTTTTCAGTTAATAAAATAACAAAAAATTAAAAATTATGGCGTTTGACTTTGTTGCAGTTTTTTTATCTCACCCTGTATAGTATAGTTTTAATATAAATAATTTTGTAGAAAAAAGATACTTATGTTGACTCGCTCGAGGTTTAACATTTTTAACGAAAATAATCCCTGTCTTTTGACATTTTATGTGGACGATACCAAAAAGAGTGGACCGATTTTGATCATCTGAGAACAGAGCTAAGTTTTAATTACGATGTAGCAAATTTGTACGAAATGGGAGTATCCTTTGCAAAGTTTGAGCACATTTGGAATATCCTTCCTATTTTCCAACAAGTAAGCAAAGGCTACAGTCGAGCGGGGCCGACCGTTGAATACCCTACAACACTATAATAAACGATACAGATTATATAGGCGAGATACTCGAAAGAATTCCACAAGATATTGTGACAAATAATAAAGGAAAACCATCATGTTTCGTTCTCTAATTTTCGAATAATAGCAACTTAAACTAATTTGCTCATTTCCAATTTATTTTTAGATGTTGCACTTAAATCCTAGATCTGGAACCAATATTTCCCAAAGACCTATAATCTCTCAGAAGTGGCAAAATATTAACATTTATTATTGGTTTTTGACTGAAACGCATCTATATGAGATACAGACATTTGACTATATTCTTCAACGAAATCAGCGTTAACGAAATAGTCAGAAGTGCGTCTTTCCTGTATTTGTGAATTCTCCAAAGAGTCACTGGAATGGACATTTTCGCATTTTGTCTACAAAAGTTGACAAACTATTTCGCACATTGAAAATTTTTGGATGGTCATCCAAAACTGCTTGGCTTTTGCAATGTCCAGTAACCCCCATTCAAATGTGCGTGAGGATCGGGCGATGATTACGACCTGCTGACAATTTTGCAGTTTTTTTTGGTCCATTTCAACCCCTAAATATGTGGCGATCATCCCCAAGAAGAGTAGGCTTCTATCATGACCCTCATCTTATCCCCATGCAAAATTTCGTAAGGATCGGGCCATAAATGCGATCTGTATATGATATCCTGATATCTCAACTACTTAGTTTTGTTAGCTGTAGAAATATTACCAAATGTTTAATTCAAAATGAAAATATGCCAAAAATATGACAAAATTGAAAAAATATGAGAAAATGTTACAAAATCAATATTTTCATGTTTAGAGAGATATTTTTATGCGATTTTTTTAGACGTTTTTTCTTTCCTGCCAAGAGGCCATTCTGAATTAATGAGAACTGTCGAAATCAGTTCAGCCGTTCTCGACATATAAGAGATCTTTCAAGCATATCTTCTTTGATAGACATATATATCGCACATATTTTGCTATATATCCGATTTGTTGGATGTTAACATCAATGTAAAGGTCAGAAGTAACCTTGTCATGACTTTGTGATTTCGCCGGGATTTAAAAAATTCACGGTTTAATGAAAAATTTTGAATTTTTTTAACACAAAAGACATGGTCTATTTTACCCGCTAAATATTATCCGATGACCACCCAAATTGGTAGGCTTCTTCCCAGCCCTAAACTCTAGCTACATGCGAAATTCCGCGTCGATTGGTCGATAATTGCGACCTGTATAGCTACTGCAAAATCCGACATTTTTTCAGTATTTGGTCCATTTCAACCCCTAAACATTTGGGGATCATCTCCAAAAGAAATAGGCTTCTATTCTGACCCTAACCCCACCTTCGTGCAAAATTTCGTAAGGATCGGGCCATAATTGCGACCTGTAGAGTGATTACAAATTAACATGGACAGACGGACAGACGGACAGACGGACGGACGGACATACATAGCTAGATCGACTCAGCTCGGCGAGCTAGGAAGATCCATATATACTTTCCTATGTGGGAAATCAATATTTCGAGGTGTTACATAATTTTTGGCCCAATCAAACTTATAATACCCCCAACACATAGTGTTGTAGGGTATAAAAAGCATGATTATATTGGATGTATCAAGTTATTCGAAAGTTATCGTACGCACCAACCAGGCAGACGGACATACACCCTTCGAGATCGACTAACTTGGTACATCTAATATTATCTTGCTTCTTGGAAAGAAAAGGATATTCCAAATTTGCTCAATCTTTGCAAACCCTAATATTTTTATCCGCTCTTGGTTTGTTGCGAAAATGGATAATATCGGTCCACTCTGTCAAGTATCTCTCCCACAAAGTTTCAAAATTTTGAATAATTATAATTATCTCATAAAACGCGAAATAAACATCCGATTCTCTTCAAATTTCACACATCCAAATATCTCTTCCAACACAAGATATGGTATAAAGATTAAAGATTTCGGTCCACTTCTTCTGGTATCTCTCCCAAAAAGGGTTACAAATTAGAATAGTTTAATTTTTTTCATAAGTTGCGAAAAATTTGTTCTCATAAAATTGGAAATAAATGTATAAATTCGGCACATCTCAATATTTGTACTAGCAATAGATAAGGTAGGTTATTTTGGTCTACTTTATGTGATAACTCAAGCACATCTCAAACTTTTCGAAAAACTATCGATAGTAGTCGATAGTAATTCCAAATCTGATAAGTTTTAATATTTATATTAGATATATGTTAGATACTTCTTTGGAATCTCTCCTATGAAAGGTCAACAGTTTGAATAATTATAACGCAATTCGGAATATATTTAAATAACCGAAAATTGACTGAGGGTATGCAGCTATACCTACTGATTCTATTTAACTTGTTAATATACCCATTTCGAATTGGGGATTTCGACACCATGTCATTGGGTATGTCCATTCCACAGTTAGAACTTTACACACCACTACAGAGAACTAAAATTGTGCATTAAAAACAAACACTTACAACCTTACGTCAATGGCCTTAGATAAGCCATAGGACTCAAACCCCCATGTACATATCTGTTATAAATCGTCCACAAAATATCATGAAATCATGATCAACTAGCCATCGGCAATATCATGACCTACGACTGTCCATATTCTAAAAATGTTTATTATGACAGCAGCTTCTGCATTGGGCTACTGCCAAACGCGCTTTTTTCGGCAAAATGCAAATGTCCAAATAAATAAACCGTTAATTTAAATTAACGACATGTACACACACACATACTCATACACACAATAATAACAAAACAATGAGTGATCGCTTATTAAAAGCCAACGAAGCCAACCATTTAACATAAAAACCCACAAAAATTACACGAAGCTGGACGTGACATGAATACGTCCACAAAGGTGGCCAAAAATGTTGCCATTGCAGTGTGGTATGGTATGGATGGTATGGACGCAACTTGTTGTGGGTGGCTAAGCGAGGGCGCCTCTGCATCGACCGATGTCTCCCCGTTTTTGTTTTTAATATTGGCTAAGGTCAGTTAGTTAGTCGGCCACCACGACCACCAACTTAATCGATGTTTTATTATAAATACCCAAAGTGGCATACTGAAATAAATCATATTGCATTAGCATTTCAAAGAATCCAAATCACAAAAATTCCACAATAACAACAAGAAACAACATGTTCAAATACGTAAGGATTAAAAGCAACAACATAAGGATTTCGAAAAAATATTAATTTTTTAAATTAACTTTTAGACAATTGCCTTGTTTGCTTTCATTGTCTGTGCTGCTGCCAAGCCTGGACTCATTGGTGCCCCCTTCGCCTACCATGCCCCCGTGGTGGCAGCTGCACCCGCTCCCGTCATCACCGCCACCAGCAGCCAAGTTGTGGCCCGCACACACAATGGCATTGTCCGGGCACCCATTGTAGCTCCTGTTGCACCAGTTCCTCGTGTTTTCGCTCCTGCTGCTCGTGTTGTGGCCCCAGTGGCTGCTCCCATCCACGCCCATCATGTTCCAGTATTTGCCAAATATGCTGCCGCCCCAGTGGTAGCCCGTTATGCAGCTCCTGTACCCCATTTCCATGCCCCTTTGGTAGCTAAATATGCAGCTGCCGCTCCTTTGGCCTACAGCGCTCCCTTCGCTTATTCCTCACCCTTGGCCTATGCCCCCAACTATGCTTGGTAAATTGTATTGAAGTGGGATTTCTGAAGGGAAAAAAATTTCACTTCGGACTGTTATTTCCTTTTCCTGTTATTATTCTTTGAATGGCATTGTTATTTGTTTTAGTTTAGTAATTCCTATGTAGTTGTAGTTCTCAATAAAGCAAATAAATTATTTAAAAGTTAAAATTTTTAATTCTATTATTCAGTATTTTTAATTTAATAAATTGAGCAAATTATCAAGAACTAGGACGTCTGACTTTTTTGCAGTTTTTTTTTATCTCGCCCTGTAAGATAAAAAAACAGCAACAAAGTCAAAAGCCATAATTTTTAAATTTTATTGAATAAAAGCAAAAAATTTCGGAAATTGCATCAAATTTGAGAATAAATTTAGATTTGTTCGAATTGGTCACCTTTGGTACGAATTATGGCCTGCAAACGCCCAATGAAAAGTGTCACACGGCCAGAATGTTGCTCTGCGGTATTTTGCCCCATTCTCAGCGAAGCGCTTGCTTAAGGTAATCGTTACTTTGGTATTTTTTAGTGCCGACCTTGCTTTCCAAAATACTCCAGACACAATAGTCCAATGGATTGGTATCCGGAGATTTTGGTGGCCATTGTGCGCTGGAAATGAATCGAGTAACCTCATTTTGTAATCATTCTTGGGTGTCGCGTGTTGAGTGCGATGGTGCTGAGTCCTGTTGAAATATCCAAGGTCTGCGGCCAAAATATTTGCGTGTCCAAGGCTTTAAAACACTCTCCAGAATATTTTCGCAATAATTTTCGGCATTTATTCTGTTGCCACGGTCGATTAATGCGAGCGGAGAGCGGCCATCGGCTGTTATGGCAGCCCAAACCATCACCATGGCCGGCGCTTGAGTCCTGGTGGCCAACCAAAGGTGGACATTTTCAGCTGACCTCTTTGGCAAGTAAACACGATCATTTTGTTTGTTTACAAACTGCTGGAGTACGAATGTTTTTTCATCGGAGAAAACAAAACTCGGCAGTTTACCACTTTCGGACAAGCGCAGCAACTCTTTAGCTCTTTTGAGTCAATTTTCTTTCTGTTGCGGTGTAAGTTCTTGCACTTTTTGGAATTTCAATGGCTTTACACCGAGCTCATTTTTCAATATATTCCAAATGGAATATTGCGATATCTTCAGCTCACGAGCAATTTTTCGGCCACTGCCGCGCGGGTTTCGATCAAGTCGCTTCTTTATTTTTCGAACCATTTCTGCTGATGGTGCTGCTTTCGGACAAGTAGCTTAGAAATGACAATCAACAATCTGAAGTTGGTTGCAGTTTTTTCATCTCAACCTGTAGACAAAATTCTGCTAAGAAACGACAATACAACTTGCTTTTTTTTTGAGATAATTGCAGAAAAGTCGGAAAAACTCTAGTTTAACAAAAACACTTAGATTTTTTTCGAAATTTTAATAAAAACAACAATAATTTGGCATTAATTTTGTTGACCCCATAATAGGCCCTTTTTCGATTTTTTTAGGGGTTTTATAAAAAATCAGGGTCCGAAAAATCGATAATTTGACTATAACTTCCGAACCGCTTATAAATCACCACTTTACAACTTCGATAGGTTTTTTCATAAGCTTTCCAATGATACATATATTGTCTACAGTGGATCAACAATCTGGGTAAAAAGAATCAGGTAAAAATTCCTACCACTGAAAAAAATTAAAAAAAAGTGAAGAGTTTTAAGCCGAAAAGTCCAGTTGATTATGAAAGTAGGCCTTAAAGTAGAAGACCTGGAATCGGTGTTTTAAAGATTTACATCATAAAGTAGCACAAAAAAAGGGGAGCACCATATTTTTTTAAAATTTTCGTATTAGGATTCTGAGAATTTCGGCAATATAATGTCTTCCGCAATATGCCTGACTATCAAGTGAACCCTAATTCGTCAACGAAAAGTCCACGTTAAAATTTTAGATTCGTTCTAACAGTTGTTAGTACTCAAAATGCACAATTTGTTCAGTTCGACACATTTTAACAAAACATTCAAGGTTTTACATATTATCAAGGGTTTTTAAAGGCTTTTCATTTTCGGAAAGAAAAAGAGGAAAATGTTTACCTTTTGCTCCAAAAAGTCTTCATAATTTTTCATTTTGCATTTTAGACCCATATCCAGTTTTTCCATCCAAAACTATGTCAACGTCACCTCAATATCAAATTTCACTATCTCAGTTCTATCCCATCACCCAATGCCCAATTTAGTACCACTAAGTACTAATCGAACAATTATAGTGCACATTTCCAACATCACCTCCATATCTCATTCCCAGATACCAAAAGTAACATTCATATAAAATTTCAGGATTTCAGCTCTAACCCTTTTGTTCAAAACCAAATTTAGTTCAATTTAGCACTTCTCGTACAAAAATAAAACGCACTTTCAAGCCCACCTCCATATCTAATTTCCAAATACCAATAGAGACTTCAATATAAAATTCCTGAATTTCAGCACTATCCCTTTATCCATTACTCAATTGAGTACCAATTAGTACTTTTCGAACAGTTATGGTACATATTTCAAAAACCATCCCCATATCACAACTACAGATACCAACAACTCCAATTTCAGGCGTATGCCATCGTCCAATACCAAATTTAGAACCATTTGGTACTTTTCGTACAAACATAGGACGCATTTCCTAAACCACCTCCATATCTCAATGCCAGATTCCAATGGAGGCCTCAATAGGATTTCAGCTCTATTCGTTCACTCAACACCAAATTTACTACTATTTTGGTACTTTTCAGACAACATAGCAAGCATTTCCTAACTACATCCATATCTTAGCCACAGACACCATAAAGTGGTATCTATACCGAATCAAAAGATTTAAGCTCCATCCCTTTACCCAATAACAAATTTTAGTACAATTTGGTACTTTGTGTGATACCCTCCAACACTGCAATATGTTAGAAGCCCCCTTATGTCCAAATCCATTTGGAAGATTTCGCTTTTGAAATTATGTGACGGAGCACTGCCCAGATATTACCCTTAGCATTTTGACCAGGGACATTTGTCCAATATTTACGCACTCCGTCGTATTTTGCGATCATCTCCAAAAGCAAGAGGCCCCTCTGTATCTTCAAATTTAGACTCTTCTATACGATCTTCTTGTCTACGATATTTGGCTATATTCGTCAACGAAATCAGCAAAAAAGGCAGAAGTTCGCATTTTGTGTATTTCGGCTATCATCTGTAAGTAATGTTGGTATTTTTCAGACAAAAGTAGTGGTCCATTCTACCCGCTGTCCTAAACTCTAACTTCATGCGAGATTTCGTGTCCTTTGGTTTCTATTTATGGCCTTTATAACGGTTGCAAAATCAGGAACATTTTTGGTTGTTGGTCCATTTCAACCCCTAAATATATTGCGGACATCTTTGAAAACAATAGGTTTAGCCCTTCTATCGGATGATAATTGCAATCTGTATATAATATCCAAAACCTGTGTTGTAAGGTGGAAAAATATTACAAAATGTACACCTTAATATTATAAGTCAAATTGAAAAAATCGCATGCGATAAAAAATATGAAAAAATAAAAAATGTCACAAAATACTAAAAAATCTATATTGAGATCATTTTTGACTTATTTTTATGCGATTTTTTAGATTTTATACTTTTATGTCAAGAGGGCATTCTGAATTGACAACATTTGTCAAAATCGGTCCAGCCATTCTTGAGATATAAGCATTCCATCTAACATTCCTTTCCATTGTATATACACATTGTATATATTTCGCTATATATATCCGACCGGAGGCATCTACGTAACGGTCAGAATTGACCTGTTCGTCTATTTTTGATTTCGCCGGGACTAAAAATATTCGCGGTATAATAGAAATTTGACATTTATTTAACACAAATGTTATAGTCTTTTTCACCCACTAAATATTACCTGATGACCATCAAAATCGGAAGGTTTCTGCCCAGCCCGAAGTTTTAGCCCCATGCTTATTTCCGCGTCGATTGGTCCATAATTGCGACCTGTAGAGCAACTGCAAAATCAGGATTTTTTTCAGTTTTTGGTCCATTTCGATCATCTCCAAAAGAAATAGGGTTCTATTCTGACCTTATCCCCACCTCCATTCTAAATTTCGTGAAGATCGGGCCATAATTGCGACCTGTAGAGTGAATACAAATTAACATGGACAGGCGGACGGACGGACATACATAGCTAGATCGACGAGATAGGAAGATCCATATATCCTTTCCTATGTGGGAAATCAATATTTCGAGGTAATTTTTGGCCTAATCAAACTTATAATACCCCCAACACAAAGTGTTGTAGGGTATAAAAAATCGTATGTAGGTTGATGTTTTCGTATATTCCCTATATAACGGAAGATCCCGATATTCGATATGTTGATAATTTTAGCGACATTATTCACCGAAATTGTTTCAAATTTGGTATTTGAAGTTCGTAATGGGTACTAAAGCCTATGACAAAAAATTTCGTAGGCAGATCCACGTCTTTCCGGAAGTTTTTTGAAAAATTTCAAGTTCCTTCCAAATGGTGGAGGGTACCAAAAGTTCGTCCGGCCGAATTTAACTGCTTTTTTACTTGCATCTCACCTTGTATATATTTATATATGCGTTAAAATATTGAAGAATCTCACTTGCTTGCAAAAAGATGTCCAACTAACGTGCGCAATGGAGTCTACGAACAATGATATATACATGAATTTTCTATGACATTATAAAGTCCTATAATGTTACATTACAACTGTCCAGTTCATGTAAAGTTTTGTGTTTCAATTTGACATCTTTAAGACCAAATTAAAAACTCTTAGTACTCTCAACATTTCAAAAAATAATATATCTAAATTTCAGCCTCTAAAAAGTCCCTGTGTGTCGGTGCAATTCTCTACAACTACCACCAGGTATTGACCTTCCAAGCCAGTTGACATCAATAAAAAATATATTTTGAAAATTAATATTCTGCGAAACTCTAATCCCATTGATGCAATATTGGGATTAAGTTGTGGAAAAAACTGAATGGATTTTTTTAACACGTGTTGTTTGGTGGATTAAAAAAACGAACGGGCACAAATAGGTCAACGGATTAACTATGAAGGATTAAGACCTTAACTAGCACAATTCATTCAAATATACCTGTTCAATGATGATGGAGAAAATTAGGTTATCTCACTTATCTACCTGTTTAATACATATAAAAAAATGCAACAGCTGAGGAACATTGACAATCACAGTGTAAACATTGCTGAGTGAACACATCTGAGGACATCTTGACAATGTCAACATTTTCCAAATCAACAAAAACAACCACAACATCACCACCACAACCACGATATTGCACCTTACCCACCCAACAAGGAGAAGCCTTCACATATGCCCTGTATCTACATCGCGAAGAGTTAAGGAGAAGCCGTTCTTCAGTCGGTGTCAAACGCACCAAGTTGCTGCTCACACAAGAACTCATCTCGAAAACTATTAAAAATATCAACAAATGTTCAGCCGATGATTTACAAATTCTCAGCCGTGAGACGATTTTCAAAAAGAATTTACATCGCGAAATAGCCCGACAGAGACATCGCCATTATTTGCATATGTTGCGTCTGAAGAATCAGCAGCAAGAAATAATTGCCGAGAACCGGGAGTATTTACATGGAGAGAGTTGTCGTGCGAGGCAAGAGTTGAATCAGAACTCGTATAATGCGGCAGGCCATGGAAGTTAGTCACTAAGTTTCAAATGTTTAAAAAATAATTCTAAAATGTTTTTTTATTTGCATTTATTATATTTTGTATATATTTAAAAAGAAATAAACAAGTTAAAAATTAGCAGTCGATTTTGCCCGACAAATGTGAACCTTCAGCCAATGTTCGATCATTTAAATATATTTTGACTTGTGTTCTAATTATTCAAATTTTTGATCCTTTTTGGAATAGGTTAAAAAGGAATGAGCCAATATTGGCCATTTCGTATCGGACCTAAATAAATAAGATATAATAATTTTGACGTGCCAGGTTTGGACTATATTCCTTCACTCTATATGAGATACATGATAAATTTTAGAAAATGGTAAAATGTGCATGAGGAACCCCAAATAGTCGATCGAAGTATTCCATTTTCATACTTCATCTAACACAGATAAAAATATTGGTACATACAAAATTTGAAGCATATATCCAACAAGTAAGCAAAGGCTACAGTCGTGCGGGGCCGACCATGTGATACCCTAAAACACTACAATATGTTAGAAGCCACACATGTCCAAATCCATTTTGGAAGATTTCGCTTTTGAAATAATGTCATAGAGCACAATATTACCCTTAGCTTTTTGGCCGGGACATTTGCCCAATATTTACGCACTCCGCCGTGTTCTTAATTGTTGTGGTCCATTTTACAGCTATAATCCAATGGTCATCCAAAATGCCATCCAAACTCTCTTCTCATGCAAAATTCCGTGTCGATTGGTTTCAATTGTGTGACTAGGAAGTTTTTTCTCTTCTTGGTTCATTTGAACCCCTAAATATTATGCGATCATCTCCAAAAGCAATAGGATTCTATTCTGACCCTACCCCCACCTCCATTTTCAATTTCGTGATGATCGGACCTTAATTGCGACCTGTAGCATGATTACACATTAACATGGACAGACGGACGGACATACATAGCTAGATCGACTCAGCTCGGCGAGGTAGAGGTGGATCCATATACACTTTCCTATATGGGAAACCAATATTTCGAGGTGTTACATAATTTTTGGCTCAATCAAACTGATAATACCCCCAACACAAAGTGTTGTAGGGTATAAAAATCCAATTTTATACGAAATCATAAATTCCGATTAATTACATATTCATATCAGATTTCTGGCTAAGGGAAATATTTAGATATAGCAAATTGTAAAGAATCGCCGACATGTTTCGCAAGTTGTGACAAATAAAAGTTTTGAAAATTATGACCCTTTGTGGGTGAGTTGCCATAATAGGTTCGCAGATACATATCATCTTCACAACAAATCTTGTGTTAACAAAATGTTTGGATGTGTGAAATTTGAAGCGAATTGGGTGCTTACTTCGCTTTCGTTGAGCAATTTGTTTTTCAAATCTTGAACCCTGTGGGGCAGGTACCAGAAGAAATCGTCTGATCTCTACCATCTTTATAACGTATCTTATGGTGATGGAAATATTGAAATGTACCAAGTCTGAATGGAATCGGATGTTAATTTCGCGTTTAATGAGCTTCGTGGATATTCAAAATTTAGACCCTTTGTGGGGGTGGTACGGTATATCCCATCTTCACAGCAGATCATGTGTTAGTAAAAATCATGGCGTGTGTGAAATTTGAAGCAAACCCGTTGCTTATTTCGGAATTTATGGTCATTTTGGTTATTCAAAATTTCTACCCTTTGTGGAGGAGGTCCCAGAAGAAATGGTCCGATATCTACCATCTTCATAGCAGATCATGTATTAATAAAAATAATGATTTATTTGCCAAGTTGGAATGGAATCGGATGTTAATTTCGCGTTGTAGAAGCTTCATGGATATTCAACATTTTGACCCTTTGTGTGGGATGTAGCAGAGCGCCGATATATCTCATCTTCACAGCAGATCTTGTGTTAGTAGAAATAATGGGGATGTGTGAAATAAGAAGAGAACCAGATGTTTATTTCTGATTTAATAATCATTTTTGTTATTCGAAACTTTGGCCCTTTGTGGGGGAGGTACCAGAAGGAATAATCCGATCTCTACCATCTTCATAGCAGATCTTGTGTTAATAAAAATATTGAGATTTGCCTAGTCTGAATGGAATTGGATTTTAATTTTGCGTTTTAGGAGCTTCATTGATATTCAAAATTTTGACCCTTTGTGGGGCAGGTAATAGAAACAGTAGACCGATACATTCCACCAGACCTTGGGTTAATAAAAGTATTGTGATGTGTGTAATTTGAAGACAATTGGACTTTACAACACTTTTTATATGAGTTATAATTTTGACCCTTTGTGGGGGAGGTATTTGATGGAGTGGACCGATATTATCAATTTTCTCACCTGACCTCGCACTAACGCAAATATTAATATTTACGAAGATAGAGCAAAATCCGATCGTTCTTTCTCTTCCTGTGCAGTAAAATTTTTTATATGAAAAGTTCGACCTTCTGTGGGTGAGGTACCAGAAGGAGTGAACCGATATTGCCCATCTCCGAACTCGATCTAAGTTTGATAATAATATTATGATTTATCATGTTTGCACCAAATGGGATACTCCCTTCGAGAGTTATCGTGCGCACCAGACAGCAGACAGATAGACAGGAAGACAGACGAAGGGACATCGCTAGATCGACTCCAAATGACCTGAAACGGATTTGGCCCAAAGAGGCTTAGTGTCTAAAACCGTTAATTCGATGAGGCACGTTTTGGTCGTATCAAATGATATATACCCCCTGTAGCCATATAACTGAGAGTATAAAACTTGTATATCATATGTTAGCATGAGATTACCTCATATAATTTTGCCGTAGGTACTACACTGTCTAAGTTCGCATTACTTACCCGAGGATTCCGACCCGTCTGGCCTTAAACGAACCAGCCTAATTCCAAAGCATATATCGATAACTAGTCTTAAAATTTTAAAAGATAAGCATTTAAAAAATGATTCCAAAGTAGGCTTCTAATTTATTTTAGAAATATTTATTGATATTTATCTTACCTTAACTCAGAATTCTCCATTTATGTTATGAAATTGAAAAAAAAAAACTTAAAACTTCGATTTATTATAGTAATAATTATTATTTTTTTCGTTTAATTTTTTTTTATAATAATTTATGAGCAAATCATTATCATGATTATTGGGTCGTCAATGTCGTCGTCTAAAAACACAAAAAATACTCTATAAAAATATATATTATATATGAATAATAATTATAATAATAATAGTAATAATGATTATAATAATAATTAATAATTTCATTTTGTTATGGACTTAAAGTTCTGATTTCGTTTTCTTAGCGATTATCAAAAATAAAATAAACAATAATAATAATAATAATAGTATTTTATATCTAAAAAAATAAAAATCTAGAAAAGGAAATTATTCCAAGGTAATAATTGTAAGTTATACTTGTAGTTTTTATTTTTTTCCGTTTGTTTTCCATTTATTTTAAAATTTTTATATTTAAAAAAAAAAAAATATATTCAACACCAACTTAGTTATTGTTTTTTGTTTTCTATATATATAAAAAATAATAGTTTTTTATATGGTTTTGTTTATTTAGTTTTCTTTATTTAGAATAATAATAATAATAAATTTATTAAATAGAATATTGTTTTTTTTTTGTTTTGTTTCTGGTGTTGTTGGTAATTTTGTTCAAAAACATTTTATTTTTTATTCATTGTATGATAAAAAATATGTATTGTTGTTTTGTTTGTTTTCACAATTAACATTTTTTTTATAAAACAAAATAATTTTTAATGAATGAATTTAGTTTTTGTTTTGTGGGCTTGATTCGTGGTGTTTTTTAAAATTTTTATATATGTATATGATCATTATTATTATTAAATATTAGTTTATGTGTGTGTGTGTTTATGTTATCTAATGTTTTGTGTGTGTGTGTAGGTGTTTGTTTGTATTTTAAGTTTGTTTGAGTGAATTTCATTTACTTAATTTACTAATTACTCTAATAAGCGCTCCATTCTCCTCTTTAAGGCGTAAGTTTTCAGTTTTATATGCATCCAATTGCTGTGAAAGAGACGGAAAAGAGAAAACAAAACATATTTACATTAATTAAATGATACATATGTACAGACATTTTACAAACTAGTTAACAAAAAATTAAAAGAAATCATTTCAAAACACATTTACATTCCAGAACAAGAATTTAAGCATTTTCTTCGAGTTGTGAATCGAAGTTTGCGGTGGCCATAAACATTAAAAAACAAAAATAAAAAAACAATTCTGAAGGCGGTGAGTTTAATATTTTAAGCAACAACAGCATCAATCTTTAAAAAATATTGTCTTGCCGGTACTTTACGACCGGTAATCAATTATGAAATACAGTAGCTGTTTGGGCAGATTCAAATCTGATATCCAACGTCATTCCCCTTAAATTCGACAGACAGAAGTTATTTTTTCTCATAACAGAAAAAAAAAACAATTAATGCCACAGCTTCTTACATTGTCCCTGCAAAAAAAAAATGGTGGTCTTTTGTGCCACTTTCAGCATTACTAGTAATGACAACGACATACCTTCAGCATTACCAATAAGTTAAATGAATAACGGTGGTACAGAGAGACTAAAACATTTGTAAAATTCGAATGTTTGAAATAACAAAAATTTACCTGGACCTGGATAGAAGAAAATACTATGAGTAGCAGTCTCAAATTTTTACTCATACGCAAAAAGGTTGTCATTACCGATATACAAGAACTTTTCCAAATAATGAACACAAATATCATATTTATCGCATAAGTGTCCAGACCCGATTTATAGAACTCCTGGGAGTACAAAAAAACAAAACGAACAAACTCAAGTTTTCGGTTTCGCTAAAATAGGTGCGAGCATGCTTTGCTCGTTGTAGCGTGAGAGCAAAAATCGAACAAATTCTACTCCTGTCGGGCACATTGCTTGTCCCTTGCTTCTATTGATTTTTTTGCCCTCAGCCATATGAGTAGAGAGGCTATATATCATTTTATAGGGCCATCGAAATAACGGTTTTAGACCCTAGATCTCT